TGGTAGAACATCTTCTTTTAAGGTTTCAATGAACCTATAAATTGTGGTTCAATGTTGTGATTTTGACACCTTAAGAAGTTTGTATTACTCAATAAACTGTGAGGTATTGTTTGAAGTCGTTTGTGTGTGTGTTTATCTTATGTGCATATGCATTTATTTAAAATAAAAACATCAAGAATTGATTTTGTTTGTACATTTTTTGCCTCTTTCTCAGACGTCTCTGTCGCACGATTACAAATTATTTTTCAGGTCAATCTGTTTCTTTTTATTGCCTTGTAATCTGGTCTTTTTCAAGCCATATCATTACAGTAGATGTAATCAAACTTGGTCTGTACAACTAGCATTCTGCGCTATTAGGTGAAATTGAATATGCACTCTCATGAATCAATATGTCATAAAAGTCATATCTTTCCATGTCGGTAACTGAACCATGGGACATCCATTTAAAACCATTTTACTGATCATAAAATAACCCTCGAATAGCAGAATACAGAACTGCTTTGGTTTGACGTTTCCTACAACAAACCCTTTTCTTTCTTTTTTGTTTTGTATCTATGACTCTACTCTGTGCTCCGAGTCGATAAGAAATTCATTCATCGCCCACACTATTCTTTTGCACAAACAATCATTAATGCTTTGTAAATTCTATTCTATTTTAAACAATTGTACTACCGAGTTCAACGTATATACTGAAAATACACACGTTTTTCCTGTTCAAAACACATTTAATTGAACTTCTAATCTCTTTTTCTCGCTAGCACCTCTTTCAGTTGGGCGTTTAGCAGGTTTACATTCCTCTAATAATAGCACACTGACATTTCCGCTATAAGGGAATGCTCTACTTGTGAGTGTACCATTTTTTCAAATCACCAAGGACACATGCCCCGAGGGAACTGATTAGCACTCTCCCGGTTTTAAAATATGAAATAACTTTGATAAGCAATTAAACATTTTCTCTTGTTTCTTTTCTATGCCTTTGTTTCTCGCCTTTCAAGTCTGTATTTTTGGATTAACTGCATTGTTTCATAGAATCTACTCGTGGCATCCATCTTTCTCTCATCTGTTTGTGCACTACTATAAATGGTTATAGAGGGGTTATCATTATCAAATGATCATTACTGAAGCTTGTGGAGAAAGCAAGGAGTGTTGTTGATCCAAAAAAAAGCTTCATTCTCTGCAGAAGACTTCAAAGGCTGAGCTTTCACTCCATTTCCATCATTATTCTCTATGAGAGATTTGTTCCTAATGAGCCATAAATCTAAACGGCAGCTTCTGTTCCAGGTCCAGTGCATTGTTATAATACAATTGTAATCATTGTTGCAAAAGAAAGTGGAGACAGGATTTTAGGAACTTTATGAGATGAAACTTAGATCACATCATTAAAACAGATAGCATGCTTTAAACTAACTGGACATAAATGTATGTATTATTTCATCAGGATTCACTAATTCATCAGGTCATAGTGATTCTGCCATTCATCATTGATGGCATGAGTTCATTCATGAATTACTACCTTCAGTAATGATGATCATCGTGAGGTTCACAGCGATGACTGTAAACATCAATAATTAACCATGATCTCATCAAGATCAGGAAGAATTATGATGAAGTCATGATGAGTAAAAGTTAATGATGTGTACATTAGTTTTATTATGAATGAATACTGAAGAACCGTGATTGTTCATGATGATTAAACATAATGATGATGATGATGATGAATCACTAATTAAGGTATTCACTAATGAAATGACAAGAACTCATGTGAATTATTACTGAACTCATCATTATCTATTGGAAAAGTTGATCATGAATTTGTCATTCATTGATAATGCATTATGGGTTTTTATAAAGTGCACACACATGCTACCATTAAACTATAATAAGTGTTTTCTAAATTAACCAATAATAAGAAAGACACAAATCTTTGGTTACAATGTGATGTGGCACATATACAGGTTCTATTGTTTTTAAAATAAATACAAAAATATCCACAATTATCTGCTATTAAATCTATCTTGATTCTTGAAGGTAGTACCACTTTGATGAGGGGTCCTGGGCATAATTTATAAAAAATGGTTGAAGTTTTGAGATCAACCAATGGGGAGTAAGCTCTGCATTTGAACATGTTCTCTCTCCCCACACAATTTGAAAAGAAAGTAATATTCACAATGTAACAGTTGGATTATATGCTGAACAATAAAAATATGATTAACAAAACCTTTAAGGTATTAATAGTGTTTAAGAATCATTACACAACCACAATAAAATATAGAAACAATGATGTTGGCTCTGGACACAGATAAGCCCACTGAATGTAAGTGCTCATTAAATCTATAAAGACTATATCTTAACAACATGTAAATGAGTTTCAGTCACTAGCTACGGCATTATACAGTGGACATTGGCTCAGTGTGGATATTCTTGTCCAGTTAAATAAGACGTGGTGTCACTGTTTTTAACCCCAGTGTGAAGGGAATAGGAGGATGCACAATGTACTGTATTAGTTATTTAATATAATTCTTTGTTTGAGATAGCCAGTGCAGTTGTTTTAAAGTCTTCCATGTTTTTGCGGTCTGCAATGAGCCAATTAATGATGTCTACAGCCATGGTTGTGCTCGCGTTCATAGGCTACAGTTCTGTTGACCTGTGCTATATTTGAACAGCTCACTGTACAGTCAAAGAGAAAAAAACAAATGATTCTTCCGCGAGCCCTAATGTGTTTCACCTAATTACTGTCTTACTGCTGGTGCAAAGTCGATCCATTAGACCCGAGTCCGGAAAACACCATTACCAAACACTGACTGCTGTTGTAAAACTAAAATGCAATGAAAAAGAGTCCAAAATATGCAATACAATGCAAAAAACTTTTAATAAATTTTCCAGAAGCGCACACATGTACATGAACAAAACATTTACAGTTTTTCTTCCACTTGGCAATAACAAAGATCATGTAAGGTGCATATTGTTACTGTCACATTGAGAAAGGTGAGGTGTCTAATTTCCCTTTTTTTTTTTTACGTGAGTTCCCCCTAAAGATCAGGCAAATCTAATCATTACACAGTGCTAAGTACGTAGACTGCAAACTGTGACTCCTACGCAGTAGTGAATACATCTTGATATCATAATTACATGTATATACTTCCCTCAATAATAACAACCTGTTGGGCCACCAAAGCCAGGCCGGTGAAATAAAGAGCTCTGAAGAGATATGATTGGAGGAAAACGGCGGTGGAGAAATCAAAGGCTTTCACACATCAGCGCCCACTGAGTCCCGGCTCATTCGGAACCTATATATGTGACTCTGAGGCTTTATGTGGCTCCAACAACCACGCAGCCATCTCTCCAATCACTACACGAATTACAATGTGTCTTTAAACGAATGAAACAACAGTCAAGTACCACTTTAGTTTGATATATTTGGCCAAATATGTAGTTTTAACATTTTCTGTCAGAATTATGGGTCATTCAGGGAACTGTAAAATGTACATTAAAATGGTTTTACTTACATTAAAATGTTTTACTTCTATTTTCTATGTTTAAACATGAAAAGATTGAAAACCTGTAATGGTTACTTTAAATGGGTTACTTTAATGTCTGTGCAACACTTTGGAAACATGTTGTATGTTTGTTTTTTGTTTTTTTTCAGGGAGTACTCGCCTTCCCTCAACTCAAAATGGCAGCCATGATACATTCAGTAAGTTCCGTTCATGTTCTAGATTTGTTTAATTTAAAGGGTAGGTGCCAATATGACTCTAAAATGACTGTAAATAAGCAATTTCTGATCAATTTAAAAAAAAAAAAAAGTCCAAATGCTAGTGATTAGATTCAGATTCAGTTTATTTGCCATTTGCAGTAAACATTAGATTAGATTTACTAACCAAGTTATATTACTCTTATGTTTAAATATATGTATATAAAGATATGTATCTATATTGCCACCACTTAATAATGATACCTTAATGAGAATATTGAGTAATTTTGTGGATTTACTTAGAAAAATTATCTCTACATTAAGACAACAACTCTGACTTTTAACACCTACCATGGTCACCCTCCACCACAACCCGCGGGGTCTTTGCGATGTTGTAATGTCACATAAACGCAACATCTATCCCAGATTCACTGACCGAAACATTGTTAATTTTGAGAAACATGTTCAGTTTCAATGTGCAAGTTACAGTGTCCCTTATCCATCCCATGTTGAATTTCAAAGGTTCAGCCGTTTTCCCAATGCATTTGAATACACAGCGATTGACTCACACGACTGAGTAAAGTGACAAAAGGCTTAGAAGTTTGACCTACTTTAACAGCTTTCATATCCTAGTAGTTAGTCCTTTGTGATTGTGGCTTAAGTACTTATTAAACTTGTCCTATCATTTGTGTAGTAATGACTGCACACCAATCCACTACTGAAAAAAAAAAAAAAAAAAAAAAAACAGAAATAAGATGTTCTCTTTTAGTGTATGGCCATGCAGCGTTCAGTGGGACAGAAGCGGCTTAAGCCTGGTCGACGGTATAGACCTTGCAGCATAAATACATTTCAAATAAGATTCATTATAGCAAAGAGCAAATGATACAAAACAAATCTGAGAAAAATAAATAAATAAAATGACCAACTATAGGCAACTCCAAAAAAACAAGGCAAAGAATAGGAATATCAATAAATATAAACATCACCATCTTGGATCTATATACATACATATGAACATTGTACATAGAGTCGTTTCCAATGTACTCATCTCTGCCATACGGTAATAGCATCAAATGAAGCACTTGAAATTCCAAGTCACAGACGGAGCTTTGTCAGGTTTCAAGCAGGAAACGTGAAGTGTCTCTGGCATTTCTGAGGTTATGTTTTAGCCCCCTTACCCTTCTCTCTCCTCTCTCTCTTGATTCAGTGAAGAGGTGGGGGATTTTTGAGGCTGGAGACAGTAAAGTACTTGCTTTTGCACCTCTTCTTTCTCTCATTCCCCTTTCTCTTTTTCTCTTTCTTTAGGGAGCTAGAGATTGATTTTAATCCTGTGGGAGCGGGCTGTACCAGTGCCACAGAGTGTGCCATAGTGTGATGGTTTCAGTGCCGTCTCCTGGAAATATAGAGAGACAGACAAAGATATAGGGAGATTGTAGTTACAATATCATCGAGCTCTGAGTAAGCTTGTGTGTACAGCTTTGTGTCGACACGGAATACAAGATCTCTAAAAGGCAGAGCAGAGTAAAGCGTTCTTCAAGGCACGGCTGGCAATCTCGTCATAATCTTTGTCAGGTTGCCTTGAAGAATGCTGTAGGTGCAAGTTGTGCATTTTATCCTCCTGTACTTATCAGAGCATGCAATGTTATCCAATTACCACTCCCGATTTGCCTTTTTTTTGGGTCTCCCACCACCACACTAATGCACACTCAGTCCCCCTTCCAAAAAGCAGTTTTAAAAAATTAATTTAGGTCCCAGTCTTTTTGGACCCCTGCCAGAAGGGCCCTCTGATATGTACAGAACTTTGCCAAGAGCACATTAGCGAATCCTTTCTATGAATATGTAATCAAAGATAAAACTGTAAACAAATCCATTTAGTGTTGCTAAAAAAACAAAATGAGATGAATAAAACCACTTTGCATTTTTGACAGTCACTTCTGCTGGTCATGAGTCAGCGATGTCTGCTTTTGTCAGAGACCGTAGATGGGTAGAGTGAAAGCATTCACCCACACAAGTGATGCACACACTGCCCTTCTAATGCATTTCCCTATTTACTGTTGCTTTGTTTCAAATGGACAATTCCAAAAAGGTTGTCTCGCTGACATTTAAGTTGTGATTGCAATACTCATGCATGTTAGCTGTCCAAAAGTAACGCTCGGGTGCCGATGACACTGTGAAGCCAGTGGTGTTGCTGTGAATTTGTGAATTTGAAGGATTTTCATGCAGAGAACTTTATCTGAGTACTCATAAACTATACTGCAGGAATATTTTTGATCTTTCAGTGTTTAGTTTTAAAATGTTTCACCCTGTTCCAAAATGATAGCAAAGAGTTGTAATAAACTATTATTTTGATGAGCAATTGTGTTGTCAGATCCCAAAATGTCAGCACACATAGGATTTTTTTCATTTAATTTTCTGATTTGTTTTGGCGAATTCAAGTCCTCCACGATAAATACTGATGCGATTTAGGGCTATACAAAAATAAATTGAATGTATTGAATTTATACATTTTACCAAAACAAAGCCCAAGTGATGCCCCTTATATGACTTAGCACAGATTGTTATATTGACAATATTTATTAATCATTATCTAAGTAGTATCTAAGTCGTAACACCTATTCTCAGCATGTTAACACTGCAAAAATGATAAAGTATGAGGTCAAAATAGCTTGAATCAAGAAGATGTTGTCTTTTTTTGAGAACATTCTGACTGCATTAAAACTAGATTTGCCAAATGGGACAAGCTATTTAGTCTTATTTAAAGAACTGCTGCTATATTTTCTCATTCCAAGGGAGTCATTCCTTGTAACTTTTAAAAACACAATGATTTTGCTTGTCCCATTGGCAACTCTTGTCAGAATGTGCACATTAAGATACATTTGACCAACTTGTACCTATTTTTTTTTTTTTTTTTTTTACATATTTCTTATCCCTTATAGTGTCAGTCCATATGCTGGTTAAAGAAAAACAATTAATTGATTACTAAATTAGTTGACTGTTTATCTCTTTCTATAATTGGTTAGTGTATTGTAATTGGCTTTGAATGCTCCAGCTAAAGCACACGGTACCTCTTAAAAGATATGGCTGAGTGTGATACGTGGCATAAAGCGTGCAGTCTGGAGAGCCCACTCTCTCCTATCCACGCCAGTCTATGCATTCAAATGTGCCGTCTTAATCAGGTTTTCAGGGGGCTATGTGGGCAGACTAATCAGGAATATGCAGATCTAAAGGCTAAGAGTGAACAGAGCTCTTTGGTTGCTTGTACATGTATGCAATTGAAACCATCTAAAAAGCTGCAAGATGTCAGTAACCTCTGATGCTTAAAATTACAGTAATATGCGAAAGGTTCATAATCACATGTCTCTGTGTTGGCACTAAAGAGTATGTTATATTAAGCGCTTTGAACTGCTTTTATTAAAATCGCCAAAAGAGCAAGCCAGTAGAGGCTTGATGACCTATATCGCATGTGTTGAGAAGAGAATTATCATTTTTGTTTAATTATTCAACTGTTAGGTTTTGCGATGCAGATAGTCTTTGAAACTTGCGGTGTATAATGAAGTGCACCATATGGTGCTGAAAAGTCTGCACTGAAGCATTGTCGACCTTCGACTGTTGTAGAGGACTTTCATGAAAACTACATTTGGTGTGAAAAAAAGACTAACTCTTATTTCAAACAGCATTTTCAAAACCATATTTTGGAGCCAGACAAAGCATTATTAGCCACCATTTTGAAGAAATCCATTATCAAAAGTTAATAATAATGTGTGTTATTATCGGTTTGTAACTTTTATTATGGGGAATGAGGGAGGGATTTGAGAATTACATTTCAGTTGTAGGTATAAAAATCACTTTGGTTTGCTATTGACACAGCATGTTTAATATTGTCTGGCGCACAACAGAAAGAGTCCTGTAAGAGTAAAATCAGACCACAACATGCTTACATACTTGTAAGGAAGAGCATTTTGAGTCATGGTTTGACTGTTTGGGATGGGTTCTAATTGGCTAAGTTGGGGTGGGCCTCTCGTTTTCCCTTTTCTGTCCGAAAAAGCTAATCTAAAGATGCATATGAAAAAGATGAAAACAGTTTTAAAGTTGAGTACTAGATAAGATAAGAGAACCTTTATCGAGTGTCAAGGATGCTATAAAATTGTCCAAATGTTCCATCTTTTCTGGTTTTAAAGTTAGGTACGCCAGCTTTAATTGAAACCTACGCTTTTAAGTACAGGCCTCAGAACAAACATTCTTCCGTATCTGTAAACCCATATCTATACACTATAAAGAACTACTGCCATTTTGTTTAAGTCTTATCAACCCTGCCACAAACCTAATTACAGTGATTTTAATCATACTATATAAATGATTAACCCTTTGGTGAATTTAATTAACCTTTCCAGCTACCAATTCTCATCAGGATAGCCATGCTATTTTCATGACACAGGCTTTAAATATGCACATTTAAAACTGGTGGGAAATCTCATGTCTAAAGTGGGAGGCTTCACTTGTCAATGGCTCCGGGGTTGAGAAGAAAAGAAGACGTTATATCTTTATAGCATCAGCGTGTAGAGGGATAGGTCTATAGCCGAGATAATATTAGCATGAATTAGAGTAGCTAAAAATAATCGCAGGCTAAATTCAGTCTACCATTAGACAAGGTGTTTACTAATCAGATATCCATTGATTTTAAATTATTTCCGCTAAAATGCTCTTCTCTTATCAGCAGTATAAGTGAAAATCAATTTGCAGCCATAATGCATAAACGGGATGATGGGTAATGATTTAGGAATTACAGAGCGCATAGTGAATATTTCTGCATATTTCCTTCACTTACGGCAACAGGGGGAAATTATTCTGACAAGTTGTCACTGTGTCATGCAAACACATTATGAATAAAATTGTTGGTAGCAGGGCGTAAAGCAGGCTTATGTTTAATTTAGCATGGCAGAGCATAGCTTCTAACCAGGTTTGGAATAAAAGGTGGATGAAGGCAATGCCTATCAACGCAATGTGGGAGTCTTCATCAATTATACAGTGCACAATGTAACGCAGGATCAACAGTCATTTACCAAAACTATGCCACAAGGAATTTGGAACGCTTACTATGAACTCACACAAACATTCCCCGGAAAGAAAGAGATGGATTAAAAACTAAGTGCAGAAAGAAAGAAAACTAACTTTACAATAATGAATTATGCAATCTCATGAAACTGACCTAGAAATCAATGAGTGACAGACAAAATAATTATGTTCACAACAGTAAAACAGGATGCCCTTGAACAACGACAAAATATACACACACTGAACTTATAACATGCCAACAAAATTGAATTAAATGGAATTAGCTATGGCAAGAAGCAACAGATGTCTATAGGAGCGTGACAGCTAATGGCTGTGCTAATCAAATAATATGAGGGCTTGAAGGTAAGACATTCAAAAACTTCAATATTGTGAAAATGTCGTTTCAGAAAGTGAAACTGTTATTCTTTATAGATTCATTGCACAAAGAACTATAAGCGTATTTATTCTTTTCACTTTCTGAAATGACTAATGATGTTGATCTTTTTCACAACCTTCAGTTTCTGAAACTAATATTTGACTGACTTATCACAAAGATTGTGAGATATATCAAGCCTTTATTTGTTATAATGTTGATAATTATGGCGCACAGATTGTAAAAAACCACCGAAAATGTGAATATTTTCACAATGACTTGTAAGCCATAATCAGCCAGATCATGACAGAAAAGGCTTGGCACAAGTCAAGTGATGAGTCTATCATTTATTTGTTGAATTACAGAAATAAATTAACTTTTGAACTAATTTTCAGAGTTAGATTTGTATTCCTCTATGTTCTAATGTGAAAAGCGTCATTGCTAAGAATAAGGTGTGTGTGGTTAAATTTGAGAATCATACTCAAGCCACCAAAGTGAGAAAGGCATCCTAAACTTTTTGTTGTGTACTATTACAAAGTCACCTATGTGATCTTAATTAAAACTTCCAGCAAAATCTCTTACATACCTCATTTATTCTAATAATTTGGGTCATTAAAGTACAGCATTTATGAGCTAAATAGGAAATTGGCCTGGCAGGCTTTTTATAGACTCCCAACACTCCCTGGGTGTTTAAATATATTGGTCTCAAGGCACCGCGTCACCTTGATCCTCTGACCCCTCCCCCGCCCGCACTTCTACTCAGTCTTGCGTACAGCACTCACATGGGCCTGTCAGGAGAGTGCAAGGCCACCTCTCCTTACCTCTGATTTACATTTATTTCCCTTCGCAAGCCTTTTTATTTATTGGGGCACTTCGCATTTGGCACATATCTCTTAGGGAATCATAAGTCCTTTGCTGTACCTTGGCATTCATATTAGCATCTAGTGCTGGCACTGGTTAAGGAAGCACTTAATATTTTGAAGAACAGGAGCCACAATGAAAGTGGAATTATTTATCGAGATGTTTTAGCATGACAAAGCATGATTTATTTCCAATGCACTATAACCTTCACACTTTTTGAATAACTCAATGCCTGTCAGAGTAGCCCTTGTTATCACTTATAATCAGCCTTCCACATCTCTTATTACGCTCATGGATGAACATGATGAATTTGAAGGTGAATTATGTTAGTAATAACTAATGAAGGGCCTACATTAAGGAAAGGCATTTAGCCCTTAGGCATTTGCTTTTTTGTTGTTTAGAAATAAATAAGCAGATAATCTTACTCATTATTCTGAAACGTATACCGCTACAAATCCACCACCTTTGTTATTCCTCAAATGGTGAGATTTTCTAGGATCTGGTCGGCTTTTGTACTAAAACTACTACTACGACATGCCCTGATGAAATCATTGGTGGAAAGACTTAGGCGTTAATCCAATAAATACATTACTGCACATCGAAGTGCCTCGGATCTCCATTTTTTTGATTCTTTATTCAGTAAGTTGTTCTACCCACATGGGCTCTTTGAGAAGCACTTTTTCACTTCCACTCTCTACAATATCATGTGTATCTCTTGTGTAATTAAATTCATACAATTATGTCAATTTTGTGTACTCGATATGAATTCAACTAGTCTATATGCGCGGCCAATAGTATCAAAACATATAAAAAAAAGTGACCCCAATGCCAAATAACAAAAGGTTTTCCATAATATTCCATAGTACTTTTGAACCTACTCTTTCGTACAAATGGCATTAGGAATTGTACCTATTGTCAGGGGTATATGGGGCGTCATGCTGCCGCCTACTGAGTTTTGCATAGGCCACGGGGCAGCAAAAGGAGGAGTGAGTGGGGACCAGTGTGGGTAGGTTTATAGAAAGGAACTCGTGAATTACCTGTCGGGTGGAGATCTGCCCCGCGGTCTTGAATCCCCCCTGACAGCCACATTCAGACACGCTGTACGGGTCAGAGCTGGTCGACGAGCACTTGGAGAGAGTGTCACAGCCCACCACAAAAGTGTTGTCCAGTGGGAGCTCCTGGATCACATGGTGTTTCTTTGGGGCTACGGGAGTCTCAGGTTTGATTTGAAAGGTTGGCTGAGGGGATGCCGATTTGTAATGCTTGGCTAAGTCTGGGCTGTCCGGTTTAAAGGTGGTAGGAGTGGTGGCCCAGTTGTACTTCCCCATCGTCTGCTCCTCCAGCTCCACAGGGAGATCCAGTGTGCCATTGACATGCTCATGTGTGGGGTCGTCAGGTTTAGATTCGTCAATGGTGACAAAATTCAGGAGTAGGCTTTTTGGGGAACGCTTCTTCCTCTTCTTCTTCTTCTTTATCTGCCGGTTTTCTTGGTTAGGAGACACCCACTCGCCACTCTGCTTGCCCTTCTGCACTACCTTGTGTCGAGGAGTCTGCCGGCAGCGCACAAGAGCGGTCACAAATATCACTAAGATGACAGTCATGGTCCCGGCTATGATCGCTATGACCACAATAACATATCCGTTCGCTTGAGGCATTTCTTCGTTGTCTCCTATGTTACGGTCTAGAGGTGTCTCCATGCTTTTCCGCAGCTGCTCTTGTATAAATGTTGCGTTTGACACAGAGTCATTGACGAACAGGTGAACAAGTGCAATTGCGTGTAATGACTCGGGTTGGCCTAGATCCTTGACCTTGACTACCAGTCTATGCAATCCCTGATCGGCCGGCACTATTTTCTCCTGCAGTGTTATGTTACCCGTTGTTTTATCGATAGCAAAAAGGCCTCGCGGAGAGACCCTGGACGTGATAATGATACTGCTGATGATACTGTACTGCAGCTCTGCGTTCATCCCTGTGTCATTGTCAATAGCAAACACCCTGGTGACCACGGCGCCCGGGGTGGTGGAGGCTCGCACCAGGTCATACGAGTAATTGGAGGATGGCATGACAAAGACGGGGCGATTGTCATTTACATCCACTACGTTAATGGTGACCTTGGCGTAGGAAGAGCTGGGAGGTTGCCCCCCATCCACTGCCTTAACCGTAAATGTATAAGAGCTCTGCTGCTCCCTGTCAAAGGTAATATTAGGTTTAATAACACCAGTTTGCGGGTCGATGATGAAATTATCTTTACTGTTCAAAATGGACAAGGTTACGATGGAATTATCCCCTGCGTCTGAATCCGTCACTGTGATTAACCCCACAGTTCCATAGAGAGGCAGGTTTTCAGGCACATAGAAGTTGTACTCTGGGTGAGTGAAAGCCGGGTTGTTGTCATTAAGGTCTTGGACGATTAGCCTGACGGTGATATTGCTCTGCAGGGAAGTGGACCCATTGTCTCTGGCTATGACAGTGAATGAGTATCTTTCCTGCTTCTCTCTGTCCAAGCGCTTGCCAACCGAGAGGATTCCTGATCGTCTGTCAATGTTAAAACCATCAGGAGCGTCAGGGCCGAGAGTGTAAATAATCTCAGCATTATGTCCACTGTCAGCATCCGTTGCACTGATTTTTATTAACTGTGTAGAAGGGTCGTTGTTCTCAGGGATGGAAAGTTGTATCTCTGGCTGGGGGAAGATGGGTGCATTGTCATTCTCATCCTTGATTTTAATTAACAGCATAGCCGAGGTATTCAAAGGAGGCGTACCCCTATCCGAAGCTACTATCTTAATTGCAAATTCTCTTGTCGTCTCATAATCGAGGGGGGCAGCTGTTTCTAGTAAGAACTGATCATTGAAGACAGGCTTCAACCGAAAGGGAACATCATGGTCAGTGTAGCAAGCCACTTTCCCATACAGATCAGCGTCTTTATCTGTAACAGTAATTAGAGCTATTTTGGTGTTCAGCGGAGCGTTCTCAGACAGCAGGACAGTTCCATTAACAAGGTTGATGATGTAGCGAGTGTCTATAGACGGGACGTTGTCATTTACATCTGTAACATTGACAATGACAGTGGCACGAGAGGGGGTCGCGCTGCCATCACTAGCCAGAACTATGAGTTTGTGGACAGGGGTAACCTCCCTGTCGAGCGGCTGCTTTACAGTGATAAGTCCAGTTGAACTGTCGATAGCAAAGTGTCTACGAGTAGAGGCAGAGATCTGGTTGCTGAAGGCGAAGTGGATTTGTGCGTTGGTTCCCATGTCTGCATCTGAGGCGTGGAGCTGGACCACGGATGTTCCCGTAGGGGCGTTCTCGGGGACCATGACCTCCAGTTCACTGTCCTTGAAGATGGGGCGATTGTCGTTGACGTCAGAGATGGTGACCTGGAGGATGGCGGTGCTGGACTTGGGAGGACTGCCACCATCTTCAACCTTTATTTTCATAACAAAGGTGTCTTTAAGTTCACGGTCCAAATTCTGTTGCACAATCAGCTGCGGCCACTTGTCTCCTTCCGGTGTTTCAATGATGTCTAGGCCAAACTCACTGACACTCTGCAAAGACATAATGAACATTCTATTAGGAGATGCTTAAAAACTAGTTACTGTCATTGTCTGCTTTTACAAGTGCCTCTACAGGTTCCATTATAAATGCATATATATATAGATACCAAGTGTAAAATGTACAGGGAATTAAAACATAGACAGTGCTAAGTCACCTAGATGTGTGGTACTCACTCATTAAAATTAACCACTCATTAAAATGCAACCACCTTGCAACGAGTGTCTGTTCATTATCACTTTGGATAAATGAGACTTTGGGGAAAAGTTATCTAAATAGTCGATTTGAAGGAATGCTAAAACACATACGGGTATCACTCCATAAAACATGAACATTCTCATTTGCTGCTAAAGTCCTGAGCACAGAATAGAAAAAAAGCCTTTAAATTCCAAGATAGAATTTCCCCTGATGTACTGTATTTATAACTTCCATCAGTGTGAAGCTTTAAGGCAGTAATGAAAATCAACATCAAATAAACAGTTTTGTGATTGCTTTTACATTTATGATGCGTGGACATTATGAAGCTTCCCTGGTGTAGATTTTAAACAGTATGTTATCATTTGTATGCAGTTAATCCAGAAAATAAATGGTTACCTTGAACAACTATTGCTATCAGGTGTGAGTCGCAAGATTGGTATTCAGCTCTTGATGATAACTGAAAGATGGATCATTCCATGTGTCATCAGTGACTCCAAAAGGCGATGGCGAGATGTATAACATGCATAACATAAAGACAAAGCACATATTGTCTCACTAACCGACTTCACTGCCATTATTGATATGAGTTATGATGCTAGTGCTTCATAAGGGATGAGGAAGTGAAGGAAGGAAGAGAGGAGGTTGACAGAAAGAGAGTGAAAGGGGTTGTGGGGGGATAAAAAGAAGATCAAGCCATGAATGAGCTGCATGCACATTATGAAACAAAGGAGCCCTTTGAAGCTGCCTCAGTCAGAAGCAGTTTCATGGTAAAACAAGAAAAAGCATCCTCTTTAAGGAGATAAGCTTCACGCTGCACATAATGTTATAGCAGATTATTCTGTCTAGGCGCAGTTATCAACCGAGATTAACATGCACAATTCCCTGTATTCAAGAAACGGACATTTAAACTGCAGGACTTTTCTGAGTGCACTACAGATGCCCTTTTGACAGCACAAGCAAACTGCGGCATGTTATATTACTGAGAGGGAGTGACTGGCGAGGGAATGGTTGTCATGATTTGATTGACAGAACTACTTAAAACAGCGTGCACTGCAGCCATGCTCTCTCAGACCTGATTTTGTAATCCTTCAGCAGAGTAAAAGACATGAGCATAAGCGTAGAGGTTGCATATAAATGACACGAGGGACACTGACGTTGGGTGATGATAATTCAGTATGCACAGCGTACAACACACAACTATTTCTGGAATGGTCCAAGTCAACATTCATGCAGCTTTATAGCTAAGTAGCTGGCTCAGTCCTCATTTGTTTGAACAGTTCTCAGCTATGGCACAGTCGCAGAGTCTCTCATATTTGGCAATGCCTGGTGTTAATAGTAGGGTGTAGAGTTAGAAATGTGTCAAAGGGAATGCAGCGCAGTGATTTATGAGGCAGCATTTCCTCTATGCTTTTGTCTTGGTTTCACACAATTTTACAACTGACAAGACAGCACACAGTGCATTTCAATTAGTTAAAGGGAGCTATCTCTCAGGCTGTGCGTCTTCCTGAATGCAAAATCAGCCTAGTGTATTGCTGTGATAAGATCTAGGGCAGGCTAAGAAAAGGCCAACTCACAGGAATCAGTCACCAATGCAAAAGTTGGAAGGATGTAGCTCTCCAAAACTTTACTATCTATATCTTACAAAATCACTTTCATTATCTATTTTAAAAGAATGTTGCCGTTCTAATAAGATGTCTATACATACATTTACAATATATCAGGGGTGTGCCAGATTGTTAGATGAATATTGATATTTTGTATACAAGGTTGAATTTTTAATGTCATAATTCATTGTCATGCTTTTTTACAGTATTTCTATTTTTTTTTAAACAATTAATATTCATTGAATTAAATATAAATGCATCAGTTGTTTGTATTTTTGTTCAAATGGAGCAGAGCATTAGATAACGGGCCAAAAGCATACATTTTCTTCTGAAACATTGTGAAGTGGTGGTGGTCCTCTCGGTCTTTGCCCTGTGGTGGTGTATTGGCTCGGGTGCTGATCAGAAGAGTGGTGGGGCTGCTTGACAGAGCCGGGTCTCGGCCTGGATGTGTCATCTTCTTTGAGCGTCTGTCCCTGACTGTATAACTTAATGCCAGTATTTGTGTGGATTGGGGATTAATGTGTGTGTATACTATATGTGTGATCTTTCATGTTGTCTGTCTTTGCTTTGTTTGTGTCTTGTATGTGCACAGGGTCAAAAGAATCCAGGAAAAAATACACATAAAGACAAATATTAAATTCAAAAGTGTTTACATAATATATTGTGTCACGTGTATTGAGGTACACATAGTATCGGCAGGCTCTGGAAGTTGTCCAGCTCTAATAATAGTAGTGTGTGGAAATTATATGGTTGAACTTCCAAGAATTTGTATGTGGTACAATTCATCAGATTACTTCCATTTCAAAACAATAAAAACAATACAAATAAAATACAACAATGTGTTAACTGTGATTCTTGCAGTCCGTGTACTTCCGTTCCTTCAATTTCCGTTTCTGAAATGTGAAGCATATATATATAATATAATATATAATAAGGAGTAGATGGCTGTTAATTTGGATTTTTCTTTCTTAGGTTGGAAGTTGGTAAAATCAAACTAATTTTTAGGAAGGGGGTTATTCTTTATTTTATTTTTTTTGCAATGAAACTACAAAAAAAGTACTGGAGATTGTTTTTCAATGTGCACGTCAAAAAATGATACAAAAAAAGGATGAACGGAAGGGACACGGACCCTCATGCCATCATATAGTCTTGACTCTGATATTTTTCAGTAGCACTGGATAATCTAATGCTTCCCCTCATTTAGATGTAAAAGGTTGAGAAAGTCTGACTAACGCAGATAGTTGGTGAAAGAAGATGCATCACTCCGAAGCCTCTTGCTGCATGAGATTATCTGCAGATGCATCCCTCCGTCAAGTTGATGACCTTATTAAAACTGTGAGGAGAGTGAGATTGTGAGGTGAATAGGATGGCTCTAGTCACGCTGATGCCCCGGCTTTGGGCCAACAGGCGAGAGCTATTCATCACCCGGTTATAGCACCTTTTTATAATGCTGATAGAAACTCCCTCTGTCTCTGTCCCCTCGCCCATTTCCCTCACTAATTCTTTTTCTTCCCTATCCAACATGGCCCCCGGCTATGATCTCATGCATATAATTAAGACAGTAGAAGCCGGGAATTGTTTGTCTCTTTTTAGACAACCTCAGAAAGAGGAGGTGGTGTCAAAATAGGATGCTAATGAAAACAGAATGGGACTCAAAAGCAGCAAGAAATATATTCATAATTTATATAAGGTGGAATACAAAATATGCATCGTCGAAACAGCAAGGCTTAAACACAAAATACTGTAGCTATAGAGCATATTATTCAAGATGAAAGATGTTCGGAGGCTTAAAATATATCATGCCATACCAAAAGGAATAGTTAAATAATTCTGTACATCTTGAATTTGTGTTTGGTGTTGCTATTATTTACACACATTGGACATGACTGCTTTTATACCAATGTTCTCAAACCTTGTCCCTCGATAATAGCTATTCCTTTCAGTTGCCTTGAGATATTGAGTCGACAAGGTGAGCAAGGTAACGTAATAGATACCCCTAAAAGTCTAAGTATGTTTCTATAACAGTTGTTTTGGCCTCTGAACAATGACATTTGAAAAATCCAGTTGAATATTTGACACGGGAGGTGAGCAACAGTTTTAGTTTCCTTGCCAATGCAGGAGGGTCTCAAAATCTTCACTATTTTATTTCAATGGTGAAGATTTTGAGACAAGATGCAGCTGGACTTACTTTATAACGTTAAACCACCAACCAGGTTGCTTCTTAGTTAGTAGCGAAATGTCGGCTTCTAAACTCTTGTTTTAAAATTGTCATACATCTGGTTTTAATGGTTGTATTATCAATGTGTTCGTATGCTTGATTTTCTAATCTGCTGTTCGCAAATTGACAATTCTGTGACGCCATTCAAGATGACTACTGTTGTGATTTTGGGCTATGCAAAAATAAGTCGATTTGATCAGGTTGTATGTGTACTCAGGTCTTTTTTGTTCTAATAATGTGATACCAACAATGATTGTTGTGAATCATTGTTGGTATATAATGTGCTTGTTTAAAATAGATCAGTACAAACACATACTGCTTTAGATTACTAATTTTGTTGCCCCCAAATGTATTTGATTGTATTGCATGTAATTATTGTCAGGCTTAAGTACTAGGGCTGCATAATTTAGACAAAATATCCAATTTTGATAATAAGTTTATTTTTAAGTGTGAAAATTCAGTTGATTGTCACTTGTTTGTCATGTCAAGGGGCATCATGTATTATATATTCTAGCAGATTAAAAAACAACGCTCATTTACTTTCTAGTAGCAGCATATGTTTCCATGGCAACATATGAATGCACACCGGGATGCGCCCCCCACGAATTTTTAGATTTTTTTTTTTCTCTCCCAGCTCAAGTTTTTGTGGCAGACTGTTTACAACTCAGAACTTCAGTCTTGGCAGAATGAAAGCTGATAATTGAAATTTTAACCTAAAACCTTAGATAATTTACCATTACATTTAATATTCTCTGCACTATAATTACGATTAGCAAATCCCAGTTTCTGTTCTATTGCGATGTATTTGCCAGGCGCAGGAGACAGCACGAGAACATATACAGCACTAAAGGTTAGATGTGAGAGTTCTCCTGCTTGGTCAACCAAAATACAGACATCCACTTCATCATGCGGTTAATCAGTGAGGCATGCTCCAGCCGGCAGCAGCACATTGATCTCAGCGAGTCTCTCCGAC